CACACACACAGCACACGCACACACAACCCCCACACACACACACGCACACACACGCACACGCACACTCAAACACGCACACACATTCACACACACGCTCACACACACACATTCACACCACACACACGCACAAACCAACACAACACCACACGCCACGACACACACACGCACACACACACGGGCACACGCACACACCACACACACACCCACACACGCACCACACACACACACACACACGCACGCACACACTCACACACACGAACATGCACACACACACACACGCACACACGCATACACACACGCACAAGCACACACACAGACGCACACACGCGGACATGTGCGCACACACACACACGCACACACACACACAGGCGCACACACACACGCACACGCGAAAAACACTCACACGCACACACACACGCTCACACACACGCGCGCACACACACGCAAACACACAACACTCCACACACACACACACGCACACACACACACACACGCAACACACGCAAACGCACACGCACACACACACACACACACACACGCACCACACACACCACACGCACACACACACACACACACACACGACACACGCACACGCACACGACACACGCACACGCACACGCACACGAACACACACACACACACACACACGCACACACATGCACACACACACGCACACACACACACTCACATTGACACACACACACACACTCATACACACACACACACACACACACACACACACGCACACCCACACAGGCGCACACACACGCACACGCACTCACACACTCACACACACACACACTCGCGAACTCACGCGCACACGCACACACACACACATCCGTGCACGTACGAAGACTCCTTTACTGCCGCGCCACCTCCGCAATGACGGTCTCCTGGGGCCGACGGCGACCAACTCGCGCGGGCACTCGCGCACCCGTCCGGGGAACACGCACGGAAGGACACCACTGCGGTGCATGCAAGGACGGCCACTGCGACGATTGCGCGGGGCTCTGGGAATCGAGCTGCCCTCTGGCGCGTGCTGCCGGCTTGCAACGAAACCGAACCATACCTAGCAGGGCTTGCAACGGAACCAAACCATACCTACCATAATTCAACAATTTGACAAGGGCGAATTATGGGAAACGCAACCCCGGACGACTGCCCCAAGAACACATTGCGCGGGAAGCACGTTTCCGATACTTCGAATTCCGAAATTATGGGAAACGCAGTTTCCCTCGAAAAACCGCACTCAATGGGCCAGAATTGCGTTTGCCATTATTCCGAATAATGGGAAGCGCAATTCCGGCCCATTGAGTGAGGTGAAAAAATTGCGTTTCCCATAATTCAGACTTCAAAGAATCCGAATTCCGAATAATGGGAAACGCAATTCCCTTGGAAAAGCCGCACTCAATGGGCCAGAATTGCGTTTCCCATAATTCCGAGTTATGTGAAACGCAATTCTGATCCATGGAGTGCGGTTTTTCCTTGGGAATTGCGTTTCCCATGATTCGGAATTCGGATTCTTTGAATTCCGAATTATGGAAAACGCAATTTCTTTTGAAAAACCGAACTCAATGGGCCAAAATTGCGTTTCCCATAATTCTGAATTATGGGAAACGCAATTCTGGCCCATTGGGTGCGGTTTTTCAAGAAACATTGCGTTTCCTATGATTCGGAAGTCGGATTTCGGGAAAATCGCGTTTCCCGTGCAATGTGTGCTTGGGGCAGTCGTCCGGGGTTGCGTTTCCCATAATTAAATGTTACCATTTAATGCGGTTATTTGAAGAAAATTGCGTTTCCCCATTATTCAACAATTTGAAAGGGCAAATTATGGGAAACGCAACCGCGGACGACTGCCCCAAGGACACATTGCGCGGGAAACGCGTCTCCCCTAATTCGAATTCCGAATTATGGGAAACGCAATTTCCCGCAAAGAAAAACACTCAATGGGCCAGAATTGCGTTTCCCATAATTTTAAATCATGGGAAACGCAATCCCGGACGACTGCCCCTAGCAGCGTTACCTTCAAATGATGCGATACCAAGGCAACTGAATTGGTGGATCTGATGTTGCATGCCGGAAGGCGACGAGAGCACAAATGGTGATGGGTCAGGACCGTGGTGATGCCCACATCGTACTGATACCGCCAGTGGTACCCTTCCTACTCTACTGCGCTACGATTTTACTCTTTATCATGCTACGTCCCCACTCCTCTATCATACTCCACAAACCTTGCATTCTACTTGAATACTTCACTGCACTACGACTCTGCTACGTGCTCGACTCCTGCACGAAGCACTCGCGCGTGAAAACCCCGATGGGAAACTGGCTGCGCCTGCGTGCGTCATCAAATCTGGCTTTGCGAGAGCGACATAAATATATTAGAAACTCAAGATGAAAACGCACACCGTATGGGTGAATCGTGCGGGGAATTACTATACGACCTCTACGGCTGCACCACTCCATTTCGTTACCACTCCACATGCACAACCCACGCGTGCACCCCCCTTCCGCGCAACCGGCATGTGCAAGAAGGTAAACATAGTCGCAAAGGGGACGACGGACGCACGCTTGCTGAAGAGGTGCACGAGATGTCCCCCAGCTCTCAGGGATCAAGATGCAAGAAGGCGTTGACATTCCGTGGACATTCAAACGACTTCTGGCGGTCCAGATCCTGGCAGACGGCCGCGGGTGCGAACAGTGACCCCCGACCAACGCCTGATGTTCGAAGCGGGCTCAGAGAATCCCCCTCGGGGGCTCGATGGACCAGGGGGGGGGGGGCACGGCGCCAACGCAGCAAGTCGCGGGGCTGGGTGCATGTCGGCTGCATGCAAGAGTGACCCTGGGCAAGAGTGATCCTGGGTGCGCAGAGTTCGCGGGCAATGCGGAGGCTGAATTCCAGTGTTGACGCCAGGGCCCGCAGCGAAGGTCACTCCAGCGAAGGTTCACTCTTACGCTTACATCTGGCATGTCCCCCTACAGGCGGATTTTGGACAAAACAAAGATATCGTCAGACAGTGATCAAACATATTTAAAAAATCAGAAAATCGTCCCCCGACTATTTTTTCTTGCCGTGTGTTAAGGTTCCCCCTGCAGAGGGACACGCACGACTCAGTCTCACGCTGAGCCGACTCGTGGCTCTGCGTGCCAGGGCGGCCCATCCCCCCCGGCCCTCCGCCGCGCCCGCCGGTGCCGCGGCAGGGGAGGGCGGGCGGCCGACCCAGAAAGGGCCACAGGGGCGAGTCGTCCTGCGGCAGCATCCTCGCGGGCCCCCGTCCGTCGGCCCGGTGTGTCCCTTCCTCTCCCCCGTCCCCTCCTCTCCCCCTCCCGTCTCTCGCACCTCGGCTCCTCGCTCTCCTGCCCGTTTCCGCCCCTTGCCTGGCCCGTTTTTCGTTGTCGGCACGTCCCGTGGTCCGAATAAGAGCTGCGGTGGCCCGCACAGCCATGCTGCCCAATAGCCAGGCGTGGGATACTTGTGGCTGCGGGTCTGTCCCTTGCCTGGCCCGTCTTTTTTGTCGGCCTGTCCCCTGGTCCGAATAAAAGCTGCGCTGGCCCGCGCGGCCACGCTGGATAATAGCCAAACCTGGGACGACAACTTGCGTTACTTGTGGCTGCGGGCCTTATCAGGGGGAAGGGTGGGTACGGGGGGGGGGGAGGACGAGGAGGGAGGGACGAGGGACTAGAAGAGGACGGATGGAAGAGTAGGATAGGTGCGGGGGCCGAGTGAAGGGAAAAATTGATGGCAGGGGGAAGGTCGATTTCCCCGTTACCTCCCCTCACTTCCACCCTCTCCATCCCCTTTCGTACCCTCCTTTTCTCTTCATCCCCCCTCCCTCCCTGCGGAAGCAGGCCGAGTGGGAAGGGGGGGATTAGTGAGCAAACGAGCAAGCGGTCGGGAAGCGCGGGGGAGACGCGGAGGGGCGATGGATGGGCTTTGGGGGGGCGGGGACGGGCGGAAACGTCAGGGTCTTGCAAGGAAAGAAGAAGGGGATCCGCCACCATGCCTCTGGCACTAAATGGAGTGCCCCAGGGCCCACGCAGCACTGATGCCGTGCTATTACTGCAGCGAAGAATGTGGGTCTCTACGGGCCGGGACCACTCGTTTCCCATGGTTTTCCAGGCTGGGCCCCGTGATTTTTGAGGTGCTTCCTGCGCTTCCCGTGGACGCTGTCCCCCCCCCTAATGTGACCTCCCGAACCCTCCCATGAGTCCAAAGAGGCTCCGAGTCGCCGGACGATCGTTCCAAGACGCCCAAGATGGCCTCAAGATGACTCCAGAGGCCTCCAAGAGGCCACGGGGGGCCTCCAAGAGGCATCCCAAGACGGCCCCAGAAGGCAAACCTCATTAATTCTCCTGTGGTGTTTGAAAGATTGTGGCGTTCTCGCCTTTCGGCTTTCCGTCGCTCCAAAACGGCCCAAGAGGCCCCCAGGACCACCCCAATACTGCCCAAGAGGCTTCCAAGAGGGCCCCAAGACGGCCCCAAAACGCCCAAAGACTGCTTAAGAGGCGCCCAAGATGGCAACGAAGGCCCCAAAACGGCACCAAAAGGGGCCCCAGAGAAGGAGCACGAAGCAAAACTCAGAGTTGTCCAGGGACGCGCCCAAGAAGCCCCGACAGGCCCCGGGAGACCCCAAGGAGGCCCCAAGAGGCCCCCAAGATGCCCGAAAGATTGCCCAAGAGGCCCCAAAACAGTCCCCAAGAGGCTTCAGAACTGCTACCGAAGAGGCCCCCGCCAGATCCCAACGGACATCCATTAGGTTTTATGCCCGCAACCCAGGCGCGGTGGCGGGATGGGCCGAAGTCCCATTCTACACTCAGCGGGGGGGAACACGGGGGCACTACGGGGGCTGGGGACGGAACTTAGCGTAATGAACGAAGCGTGGGACAATCGCGACTTACTTCGACATGTCAACCGTCGCAAGTCTTGCTTCGCTTGCCGACGAAGGTACTTGCACACGTCGACGTGTCCCTACTCAGGTGATCGCTGTCCTGGACCCGTACAACCCACCAAAATACCAAGTGGCACGCGTGCCCTGGCTCTTGCACCATAGACCGAGGACCAGGAGAAGCGTGGAGGCGATCATACGGTTTGGGGGGTTTTCCTGGCGCTCTTCAAGTCACCATCAGGAGACAGGGGCAGGGGGCCTGGGGGCCGTCGAGCGAACAAAGGAACGACGACGAACCGAAAGGGCCCCGATCCCTACATCTCATCTGCGCCAGCGAATAGCAAGTTCTGAGGTCCAGGAACGAGACCCCGAGGGGAGTTCTGGAAGGAGACCGAGGGGGGAGGACGAACCGCGACAACGAACGGAAATAGAGGGCTCCGCGGCCCTTACGCCAAAGGAAGGGTCCCGAGGGAAGCCAAAACCCTGAGACCCACACGCTCAATTACCACGCACCTCGTTGTGCATCTTCCCTCCCGCCGCACATTCTTGAGGGCGTCCCAGATGGACATGGCATCCGCTGGGCTCGCCTACTGGTTGCCAGAGTGGGTCGCCCTTGCAGTCGCAGGCTGCCCACCCTTATGGGGACTTGCGGTTCAACGACTACGAATACAAAATCCTGCACCCGCCAACTTGTCGCTTCTGAGGCGTGCCGTTGCCCTGGCCGCCCATTTGCCGGCGCCGCTGCCTTTGCCGCCTGCCCCCTTCGCGCAGCCGCCCCCTTTGCCGGAGCAGCTGCATTTGCCGCCTCCCTCTTTGCGCAAGGAGTGGTCGGCGCCTGGCTGGCGCCGGGCGTCGCCGGCGACGGCGCCCGCCGCGCCGTGGGCTCTGCCAGCGCGGGGACACCCGGCGGTGCCGCCGTGCGAGCACCCGGAGACCACCCCCGGGTCATGGCGGAACGGCGGGGAGAGCGCATGGCGCCGGCGCATCGTCCTCTCCCTTTCTCGTCGTCTTCGTCCTCCTCCTCCTCCTCCTCCTCCTCCTCCTCCTCCTCCTCCTCCTCCTCCCCCGCCTCCGCGTTTCCTGAGCTCCGCGCGCGCCGCGCCGCCTGCGTGAGCCACCCTGCCTGGGAGTACCACTGGGCCGCGACTCTTGCGGCGCGCGTCGGCGCCAGCTCGGTCTGTGGCAAACTGGGGAGGGCCCTTAGCCTCTGAAAAGCTGTAGTTTGGGAGGTCGCCGGCCTCTCGGCGGGGGGTGGGAAGATGTGGGAAATCGTGCCCCCTTCGACCAGCTTGATCGGGTCGACTAGACGCCCGCCCGATCAAGCTTGCCGAAGGGAGGGCCCATGAACTTGGGCTGTCGGCCGCTGCGGGCCGAGAAGCCCTAAACCCTAAACCCCAAACCCCAAACCCAAGGACGAACCACGACGACGACGACGAGCGAACGCAAAGGGTTTCGGCGGTCAAGGGGGGAGGCCTCGATAGAGGCGATTGGGAGAGATCCCCGAGGCGGGCCAGGGAGAGACCCCGAGGGAGGCCAGGGGAGAACGCACCACGACGACGAAGAGGTCCGAGATCTAGAACACGAATGAGGGGCTCTGAGCTCTAGAACACAGCTGTGCAAGGCCCAGGCAGCGACCGAACATCGGCCAGGCTGCAGGGTCACAATTCTGCCACGCGGCTGAAGCTCTGGATTCAGCCCACGGCTCCGAGGGCTTGGGGGAGAACCCGGGGGAAGCCAAGGGAGAGGGTCTGGACTGCGCGGGCCCGGGGCCATGGGGGCGGGGCCAGGGGGAGGACCGGTGCAAAAGGGGAGAGAACCAGGATCGGGACGAACCAACGAACCAATCAGCCAACGCGCCACGAAGTACAACGCAACGAAATAATATCGGCGGCTCTCCTCTTGCCTCGAGTACTGCCTGTACATTATCCTCCTCTTCCTCATCCTTCTCCTCCTCAGCTCGTCCATCGCGGTCCTACTCTATCCTCTATAGCCTCCCCCTCCTCAGCTCACCCCGCGTGCTCCTACATCCTCCTCTGAATCCTCCTCTTCCTCCTCCTCCTCCTCCTCCTACTCCTCCTCTTCCTCCTCCTCCTCCTACTCCTCCTGCTCCTCCTCCTCATGCCTCGCCTCCCGGGGCGTGTCCTGACCAGGACTTCGAGGCGAATCCCGCCGAGGCCACGAGGGAAGGGTAGCGGTATCGGGACCCGTGTCTCCTCTGAACCCCCGCCTCACTGCCCACCCCTGACCTCCCAGGATGGCTAAAAAAACGGCCCCAGAACCTTGACGTCTACATTCCTGCTGGGGTCTGAGGCAATCCAGACAGGACTGTAGGTCGGTCTGGAACGCCAGTTCTTAGCACTCTGGAAGGTAAGGGGCCCCCACGCCAGACTCGGGTTCGGGGGACTCGGGTTGGCCTGACGGGGCCATCATGAAAATGACGAGACCCAACTTGGAATTTGACGCGAACTCCCGCTGCAAGCATCCCACGAACACCAGACCGTCAAAATCCAGGACGTGCCAATGCAGAAATGTCGAGGATCTTCTGACCCGAGTCAATCCAGACCCGGGTCACTCAGGCTTTGCAGAATCCTGCAAGATCCTGAGAGATCCTGCA